GCCTTGGCAAACGAGACAGCATCCCTGATTCTTGATCGTTGATGGAGGTCGGAACTCCGGATTCTTTCTCTCACTTGAGTGAAACGTGATACTCCAAGCATAGCTCTTTCGATTCCTCTTTGGGAGACCCGAATAGCATTCTCATTCTGTTTGCCTAGGGCCCAGGTCTCTGAGGCATATGTTAATGCAGGAAGAACAGTGGAATCAAAGAGATGTGCCTGGAGCTGGAGGTTCTTCGTCCTCTTAGCTATTACTTCGACACTCGTGAAGGTGGTCCAAGCCACTCTCTTTCTCCTGCGCAACTCTGGTGCCACACCCTACCAAATGACCTGGCTTTTTCTCCACCTGTCACCATATCTTGTTTGATATGGCTACATGCAGGATTCATCTTGGTTTTAAGCTCATTCTGCCCAAAGTCAAGTGTCCCCTGTTTCTTTAGTATCCTCCACTCCCTGGAAGCAAGTTTTCTAGTGGCTTATTTTATTTTATTTTTTGCTTTCTGGATCACACCCAGCAATGCACAGGGGTTAGTCCAGGCTCTGCACTCAGGAATTACTCCTGATGGTGCTCAGGGGACCATGTGGGATTCTGGGAATTGAACCCGGGTCGGCCGCATGCAAGGCAAATGCCCTATCCTCTGTGCTATCGCTCCAGTCCCATGGCTTATTTTATCAGTGTGGCTGCGTGCTCCAGCCAGCTGTTGTAAAGGAAGGAAACCAAGAACCCAAGACTCTAATAATCCCTACAAACTTTCTGGGATCATTTTTAACTCATTGTTCATTACTCATTCTTCATAACTAGCCATACAAAATAAAATTAGTTAGGACATGCTTTTGGGGTCGGCTTGAGTGGTGGTGGGAGAAGTCAAAATAAAGGTGGTGGGATTGGTGTTGGAATATTGAATGTAATGAATTACTGTAAATGTTATTAAATAAAATTTTTAAAATCCCAGTAAACAAAATGTCTCAGCAGGTTTTGGTTCCCTTTAGACAAGGGATGAGATGAACAGAATGCTAACAGAACACCCACCCTAGGAGGCAGGTAACATCTGAACAAAGAGAGAAATACGTGTCAGCAATATTTCCTGCAATGCCGCTTTTCACGTGCAGCCATTAGCCTGTCTCCCGGGGCTAACCTCTAGACATCTTCTGTATAAACCTAGATGAAACACAAGCTTTGATCTTTTACCCTGGAGAAAAGATCCACTTGCCTTTTCTGTGGAAACATTCTATTTCCCTAAAAATCATTTTTTATACCTATAATTCTCTCAGTGAATCCTTTTCCAAACCCAGGTACTCTCTCATCAGCCCCAAATTTCTGGTTAGGAATGACAAGATCTTTTAGGTTATTCCTCACATCTACAAGCCATGAAGACACTTATTTCTTCGCCCTGAAGTGTTTTGGGGGAGGAGGGTTTATTTATTCGTTTACTTTTGCTTTTTGGGTCACACCCGGCAATGCACAGGGGTTCCTCCTGGCTCTGCGCTCAGGAATTACCTCTAGCGGTGCTCAGGGGACTATATGGGATGCTGGGAATCGAACCCAGGTTGGCCACGTGCAAGGCAAACGCCCTACCTGCTGTGCTATTGCTCCAGCCCCATGGGGGAGGAGGGTTTAAAGGGAATGGAAGCTCCCGAGCAGTTCTCAGTGGGCCTGGGGTCACTCCTAGTTCTAAACGCCTGAGTGCACAGTGCTTGAGTCCTGCTAACGTGGTGCTCAGGCGACCTGACAGTGCTGGGGATCAAACTTGGGCTTCCACATGCAAAGCTTCTGCTCTTGGTCGCTGAGCCATCTCTCCATGTGCGGTTTTTATTTTTAGAAATATCAACAATGTTTTATTTATTTTGCTTTTGGGGTTGTAAGGTCCTGTGGGACCCCGAGGGAAATTCCAGAGCTAAACTCTGCTTTCTTAATTAGTTAAAAACTCTGCTTAACTTAGTTAAGTCTTCCTTACCTGCCCCCTCCCTAGTAAAGGCTTGAGATGTAAAGCCTCCACTGTTGACTCTTCTTAATTAAGATGTAAATCCTGCCTTCCACTGTTGACTCTTCCTCATCTGCCCCTCCACTGGTAACTCTCGCCTCATCTCCCTCCATCGGAATGCAGGTGTCCTGAGCTGTAAACCACGGGGAGCCTGGTAGACATAGAAGATAACCAGATGTCTGAGTTATGAGATACCCGCTAGCCACAATGCCCATGTATGTAAGTGCTGATCTTTGAATGTATAGGCTAAGGAGTGATGTACTCAAATGGATTGGTTTAAGAAAGTATATATTGTTACGAATCTATTGGCCATGAAATGCGCGGGCTCTGCTGTAACGGCTGGTGAAGGCCTATATAAGATCTCCTTTGAAAAAGCTCAGGGTCTTGCCTAACCTACTGACCTGCGTGTCCGTGGGACGGCTTGACCCTGGCTAGCCAGCTCAATAAACTACCTGCTTGCTGATTGCATTCCTGCGTGGTCCTTGCTTGCGGTCGGAGTTCCAGAGTCGTGCACTAATAGGGTCACACCCAACGATGCACAGGGGTTACTCCTGGCTCTGCACTCAGGAATTACTCCTGGCGGTGCTCAGGGGACCATATGGGATGCTGGGAATCGAACCCGGGTCGGCCGCGTGCAAGGCAAAAGCCCTACCGGCTGTGCTATCACTCCAGCCCCTAATGTTTTATTTCAACCTTACTTCCTTCCATTGCCTGTTGAGTGTTCATGATGATAACAACAGTCAAGTATAACTGCTTCAGAAGTGAGAGCCTGTGAATGCTTCCCAGAACCTGGGATCAGACATGCACAGGTGGACATGTGCTGTCAACATAGGTACAATCGCTGTGCACTGGGGGTGTAGGAGTTTGTACCCCAAATCAGCCTCTAGTTGACTTCTTGGTAGTTTGTAATGACTAACTGCCCCAGGCCAGCTGTGATTATTTAATGCAGCCAATCACCAACCACCAGGCCTCAGGCTGGTGCTGGCCCAGGAAGTCTGAAAAATGCTAAATGAGTCCCTGCTTTCCTCCCAATCCCCGAATACACAGGGAAACTGGGAGAAACTTGAAGTGAAAAATCCAAACTTTATCCACCGGACTCACCTTTATTTAGGATCTTCTCTGAATTGAGACTGTGCTATGAAATCAGTGTCAGCTCTTCTGAGGAAGGTTTCCAGGATTTTCAAAACAGTTCCCGGAGACCATGTGGAATCAAGAACTGCAAAGACTAGCTTTGTACTCTGGCAACCATGTAGTTCTCGCCTGAGGCAAGGATCAAAGGATCAAATACATCCTCTTATGCTAACAACTTCCTCCTATGACACAATCAATAATCTCTAGGGGCCAGTGTGAGGCCTGAGGAAGGAACTGGCAGGAGTCTTGTTTCAATGTCTTAACAGATGTTAAGACAGAGAACTTCCCTTGTCTTTTTTTTCCTCAATAGGGTATCTCCAAACCAAGCAGATCACCTCTATTGTAGAATATATCTCAATATATTTTGGGTGTCCCATACCCATCTGTGCTTAGGGATTTCTGGTTAGTGCTCAAAGATCACTCCTGGCAGGGCTCGAGGGACCATCTGTGAGTGCTTGGACCTAAGTTGGCAAGTATGCAAGGCAAATGCCCTATCCACTGTAGTATTCACCCCCAAATGTTTTTAGCCTTATCTGAGGGGTTATTGACATCCAATCAATGACAAAAATATACATTTTTCTAAGTTTTCACATATATGTATATGTATATCCATAATATAACCATGATGTTGCATTCCACTGCTGCTCTGAGGACCAAGCAAGTAAGAGGTGATGTGAGGAAAATGGCTATCTGGGGGTTTTGTTTGAGGGTCACACGCAGTGGTGTTCAGGCTTAATCCTTCTGTGTTTCAAGGATCACTTCTGGAGGTGCTCAGACCAGTGCCAGAGACTGAACCAGCACCGTCCAGGTGCAAGAACACCTCATCCCGGGCGTTCTTTTGAAATCATGTTTCAGCCCAATCTCCCATCTTTCCTACGTGTGGGGAGAGTTGAAAGTGTTTATACCAAAGAGTATAAACTGAACTTGTTTTCTGGAGATTCAAATAGGGCTGGCAGTTAATTCAGGTGCTACAGGCTTTCAGAATTAAACCTTTTTTTTTTAATTTGTAGATAAACTACACCTGGGTATTATGCAGCTGTTACCCATGACATAAAGTTCAATTGTGAAGGATGATTTTGGAGAAAGCTAGCCATCATTGCCTTAACAATAAAGTCGAATACAATGCAGAATGAACACAGTGGGAAGAACAATGGTGAAGTACAAGTGCCTTTATTGTTTTGAAAAGTGGCTTCCCCCAGGGTGAGCCACCTGCTGCCCTGCTGCTGCCTCACTAGAGGCTTTTTGCCGAACAAGAATCCTTAGAAAGCCAGTCTGGAACAAAAGCTGTCCTAAGACTGGAAATACCAGAGATTGCCCAAACACAGCTTTCCAGTGACACAGGGCTGAGAAACGAACTCCCAGTGGAGGAGAGACGAGTCTGCTGGTGTGTGCAGACAATCCCTGCTCAGCCTAAGGGCCGAGTGGGCAGCCCAGTGCCAGCTGGGACTTTCTCGCCACATTTGTCATAGATAACTCTTGGCTGGTGATTTTTCATAACAAAAAAAAGGCCCTCAGGCTGTGGGACGAGCTTTGGTGGTAATGAAGCCTTTCCATTTTGGAATTCTTCTGATTCTTTTTGTTCTGGGGGTCAGTCTCACAGTCTCAGTGGTACTCCTGCACACAGCACAAGTGCCAGCTGTCTCCCCGACCCGAGATTGTTCCATTTCTTATGTGGCACTGGGTCACTGTCACTCAAAGACCAAGATTTCCCCAAGCTGAGTTCAGATCCAGGGCAGGGACGGGGTGGATGTATGTTACCAAGATCCTAACCCAAAGGGTTCACAGTCCTCTGGAAACCTAAATGATGTGCAGAGAACCAGTGGGAGGCACTGCCGAGTCCAAACTCAGGATGACGCCATGTACATCAACTCCAATCAGCATCCAGGACAGCTGGCTCACATGACTGCTTTATTGAATGTCATGAATGCAATCAATATTGTACAGAGATGAAGTGGATACAGTCCTGCCCAAGTGGCACATGTTTCATAGTGAACTGTGAAAGTTCTGAGAGGTCAACACGTTTTTATTAATGTTTTTTTTTATAGATTTCTGAAAAACATTTTTAGTATCGAGTTTTTTAAAAATACATTTGATCAGAAGGAAAAACTAAAATTCTGTTTATTAAATAAGTTATACAAGAGTTTTAAAATAATGGGTTCATGTCCCATTATCAATGAGAACAGAACCTGAAATTCTGTTTTGAAGTTAACTACTTCCTGGGGTTACGGGAGGTAGAATAATTATGAAAAAAGGGAACATTTCAATTCTGTGTATCAAGAAGGCCTGTGTATTGATTGTTCTGTAAGCCCCAAAAAGTATTTCTCTTCAGAATTAAATGCACACATATTGCCCTTTCTGAGAAATATACAATCGAACATCTCTCTCATTCTCCCCCGTCAAGGTCAGTTGAAATCACACCTGCCATCACAGACAGCGAAGTTAATGGTGAATTAATGTGAAGAGAAGTTAGAAGCAGTAAGAAAAAAAAATCGATCCTGAAAAACATTCAAATATGCAGGTAAAAATGAAAAAACTAGTAAATTGAACTGCTGAACGATTAGCCATAAACACATGCTGGTTTCCACACCTGCAGAAGCCCTGGCTTCCTTCTTGGGAGGCTGCACAGCGTGTGACCACCCGTCCCCTGCCCCAAATGTCAAAGTGAAATGGAACTCAGCAAACTCTAGGTGATTTCTGTACTTGACGTACGTAAGAATGATCAACTGGTAGGGCAAAAAGAGCCTGTGTATTGTAAACATTCCGAGAAAGACAAGTTCCTGCTCAGAGAGAACTGTCCTGAGTCTTGAGTCTTAAGTCTTCAGAGAGCGGAGGGCTAGGCGAGCGGCATGCTGGCATCTTCAGAACAGCGCTGCAGGTGGGGTGTGTGCCAGGCTCACCACCCAATACAAGGGTCTGGGCAATCCCGCAGGTGAGTTTCAAAGTGACCTTTGGTAACATCCATCAAGGTGGTGAACACGGTCAGCTGAAAGGAAAATAATTGTGTGGATGTTAACCATTCTCTGATGTCTCTACTTGCTGAACTTATTACTCAATTCTAGATCATTCACATAATATGATATGCGGCTAAAAATAATTGACAAAAGATAATAATAAACAACTGGCTCCAACAGAACCTTTACTCCACATCAGACACATAAAGAAGCTTAAGAGAGTCTTGCCAGGTTTTTAGTGTGTTTTCTTTTGTTTGGGAGTCACAGGCGGCAGTGCTTGGGGCTTACTCCTGGATCTGTGCTCAGGGATCATTCCATGAGGGACTTTAGGGTCCATATCTGATGCTGGGTATTTTTTTTTTTTGGCTTTTCGGGTCACACCCAGCAATTCTCAGAGATTAGTCCAGGCTCTGCACTCAGGAATAACTCCTGGCGGTGCTCGGGAGTGAGCTAAAAATAACTGACAAAAGATAGTAATAAATATCTGGCCCAAGAGAACCAGTACTCCATGTCAGGTACATAAAGAAGCTTGAGACATGGGATGCTGGGGCCCGAACCCTAGTTGGCCCTGCCTGTTGTACTATTGCTCTGGCTCCGATTCTGGGAACTGAATCTGGGTCAGCAGTCTGCAAGGCAAGTGCCCTACAGTATATTCTTGAGCAGAATACTGCTTGGCCCACCATGCTCAAAGGCTCTTAATCTTCCGTAGTACATAATCTGAATCACACAAAGCGTGATGTGGTACCACCGGGGATACGCAGCTTAGCTTTGGCGACCCTTCTCCTTCAAGCCAGCAAACAAGGAGATGTGCAGATGACTAAGTTCACACAGGAAGATGCACAGAACCTGAAAGTGACCAGGGGCTTGCACAAAGATGGCAGGGTCAGAGGGCTGAAGAACAGCTTTCCGCAGGACCAGGCTCGAAGCCAGTTGCTATGAGGCAACAGCAAGAAATTGTCCTTGCATAGGTTACGCAGAGAAACTTATTGTAGGGAGAGATTGGGGGGAAATGGGCAATGAAAGGGTGAGAATGAACAAACTGGGGCTGGAGAGGTAATATGGTGGGTTGTATGTGGCTGACCCAGGTTGGATCCCTAGCACTCTCTGGCCTACCAGGGGTGATCCCTGAGTGGGGAGCCAGGAGTAAGCCCTGAGCACCACCAGTGTTACCTAAAAGCGAAAAAGAAAAGGGAAAAAAATGAAGAAATAGCAGATCAGGGTAAGCATGTCATCTGGAATACATGGGGTAGGAGGTCTGGGGGGCAGGTTATTAGCATACTGGATGATGAGGAAACTTTCTGCATTTTCAAAGCTCTTGTACGCAGAAAAGCAAAAGAATGTAATAAAGCTGAAGAGAAACCCGAGACCCCCAAACACAAAGCTCTGCTTATAGAGAGATTTTAGACTTAGTTTGGTTGAGTTTTAAGTTAGCTGCAGTTTATTACACGAGACAGAAAGAGATACCAAGAGTAAAACACCATGTATGTAGAATTTCTGACCAATGTGGATATCAAACTAGAGTGATCAATGTCTTCATCACAGCCCAAATGTCACAGTTTCAGTGATACAAAACTACCTTAGAAACCAGGCCTCAGCTAAACATGACTTGGGATTCTAGTCCTGATTGATCGAAGAAATTGATGAAAACACAAGACCAAAACCTTCCCCTAAAATTAATGGGAAATATATATAAAATAATAAAATCCAGCCCCCGGACGAGACCAGTGCAGTCTCCTGCCCCTGCGCCTGGCTGTTCCTCGCCGGGGTCCCTTGGAGGGGAGCGGGTTGAGCTTTCCTCCCCGCCCTGACCAGGGCTCCGGCAGCCGAAGACCTCCAGGACCAGCCACCACCATGCTGAGACCACTCTCCGCACACATGAAGGTACTGGCAGAGGGACAAAGCCACGCGGGTTCCGGGGCCGAGATCTCCAAGCCTACTCGGATTGGAGTCGAGCATCCTCCACCCAGATCCTCCAAATTCCAGTAGGCGGGGGTCACACCCACCACCTGGCCCCCTGGCGCTGTGTAATCCCATCAGCGGCCAAGACTCAGAGACATCTTATCAGGACATCTTTTTATGACATCTTATCTCATTCCTACTTTGGACAAACTTGCAGGCTCTGTAGCCTGCCCACAGGGCAGAGTCTGGCAAACTCCCCATGGCGTACCAAATATGCCAAATACCAGTAACAATGATGGGTCTCATTCTCCTAAAAGACCCTTGAATATAATCTCAGGGCTAGGATGAAAGAGACGTTACTGGGGCCTGCTCGAGGCAATCGATGAATAACAGGATGATGAATGAATGAATGAATGAATACATTAAAAATATATATATATATATACTTAAATACCTTGTTGAGGACAGGTTTTGTCGACAGGACATCATACAAAGTTGCAAGTGATATATTCTAAAATTAAAAAAAATAGTATTGTTCCATGAATAACGGATGTCAACTGCTTTACTATGAACAGAAATGGATTGTTAGAAACCAAGACATTCTTCAACCAACTTCCCTACAAGTTTACTAAAAATAATTACCTTAGACCTATTATTAGAAGCAGCAGTAAATGCTCTAATGTTCCATTTTCAAGTTCTCTCTCGTCTCCTCTGGAAATTCTTGTCTGTCTGTGATTCCATTTCACAGTGATAGGTGTCCCACAATTAAATAAGAAAGTACATGGGCCAGAGAGAGCTCAATGAGCTGAGTATACGCTCTGCATGCAAGAGCCCCCCCAGGCACTGCATGGTCCCCTGCATTAGCCAGGAGCAAACCCCTTCCCCCACCTGCCCTGTCAAACACACACACACACACACACACACACACACACACACACACACACACACACAGCAGAGTAGCCCAGGAGCCTCCAGCATTGCTGGGTGCCACTCAAATCATCCTTGACCAAAAGGAAGCACAGCAACATTTTTGCTGTTTAACTGTATATCTGGGCCAGAGCCAGCAGTGCTCAGGGGTTACTCAAGTTGCCTAACCCTGGGCCTCTCACTTGCAAGACAATCACTTCAGCCCACTGAGCTTATCTCCAAATTTCGCTCTTCAAAAGCAAAACATAAACGTAGGCAGGACTATTTAATGTTTATATGTAATATGAGCATTAAAAATTCTTTAGAAGTCAAAGAAATACACCGGAATTAAGATATTCTCTAATGCACTTCATTACTTTCTATACAAGACACTCTGAGTGAGTCTACACAAGACACTGTCAGTCTACACACACACTGTAAGTCTATACAGACACTGTGAGTCAATACAAGACACTGAGTCTATGCAGACACTGTGAGTCTATACAGACACCATTTGTCTATACACACATCGTAAGTCTGTACAAGACACTGAGAGTATACACACACTCTGAGTCTATGCACACACTGTGAGTCTGTACAGAAACTGGGAGTGTACCTCTTGGGTTGTTCGGTTTAGACAGTTCTTCGCAGGTGTCCTGCGATCATCAAGGAAGAAGGGATTTTTCCAACGGTCATAATTTGTTTGTACGACATACCACCTACCCAGCTTGGGGTCAAGTCTAGATTCAAAGAGAGAAATTTTATTAGGCTTCATGCCTTCCCCTAGCGCAACTGGCAGTATGTAGCGTCTACTAATTGTACTTACTCATATACATCCAGAGACTGTTTTCTGCCTCGTGTAATCACACATCCTTCCCCAGACTTATTGCCTCCCAGGATAAAGTATGCTGGGGCCAATATTTTGGTTTTGGTCAGTATATTCTTGGCTTCTTCATAACTAGGCAGAGACACGCAAAGGGAAAAAAAAAAGAGTTTTAGTTAATTTGGAGTGGAAAGTTTTAACTGTTTTGAAAACTAAGGGAAAGTTAAGTCCTCAAGGACGAGGGTTTGGGTTTGTTTTGTTCGTTTTGGGGCCATGCTCATTTTGCGGCCACACTTTGTACCCAGGGCTTACCCCTAGCTCTGCTCTCACAATTGGGTGACTGTACATGGTACCTGATTGAACGCAGGAGAGTAGCATGCAAGGCAAGTGACTTACCTACTGTACTATTTGGGAGGGGTCCTTATTTGAGAAATAGTTTAAAAAAACCTTTTCTTCGGGGGACAGACATAAAATGACAGCACTTATTTGCGGAATATAAAATAAGGTAATACAAGAGTGACACCCAAGAACAGTAGATACAAGAACCAGGAATTTTGCTCCATAGTTGAAGGCCTGTCTCATGAGCGGGGGAGAAGGCAGCTGGGATAGAGAAGGGATCACTAAGTCAATGATGGTTGCAGGAATCATTCGGGATGGGAGATGTGTGCTGAAAGTAGATCAAGGACCAAACGTGATAGCGTCTCAGTATCTGTATTGCAAACCATAATGCACAGAGAGAGAGTATGGAGGAAATTGTCTACAATAGAGGCAGAGGGAGGGATGGGAAGGGGTGATACCGGGGCCACTGGTGGTGGAAAATGGGCACTGGTGGAAGGATGGGTGTTCAATCATTGTATGACTGAAACTCAAACATGACAATTTTGTAACTGTATCTCATGGTGATGCAATTAAAAAAAAAACTTTTCTGGGTTTTGTGCCACATTCAGCCGTACTCAGGGGTCACTTTTACCCGATTTCTAGGGGACCGTTTGGTGTAGGGCATCAAACTGCCAAGCTGTCTCTCCAGCCCCAGCGCATAATTCCTCAAAAGGATCATGAGAAACAGCTCAGGGAGGAACCATCGTAGACTCTCTGAGATGGAAACTTGAAATCTGAAATGTCCCTCAAAACTTGAAAATTGGGGATATTAAAAGTTGAAGCAGATTTTCAAATTGACGACTAAATCTCATTTCCTGAAAACTAGCCAGTGGGATGCACATAAACAAAACAAAGAATAAAAATTACTTGATCGAGGTACTCATTATCACTAACCAAGAGAATGGCAAATAAAAATGACAATGAGATATCTTTTTACACATGCTAAATGGCCCTTATAAAAAAAATTCAAAGGGCTGGAGTGATAGCACAGTGGTAGGGCGTTTGCCTTGCGCACGGCCGACCTAGGTTCTAGTCCCAGCATCCCATATGGTCCCCTGAGCACCGCCAGGGGTAATTCCTGAGTGCAGAGCCAGGAGTAACCCCTGTGCATCGCTGGGTGTGACCCCCCCCCAAAAAAATTCAAGAGCAGGCCAAAGACATACTATAGGGTGTAAGATGCTTTGCCCTGGTCAACCCTGGTTTGAATCCCTGGTACCATAAATGATCCTCTGAGGAGCACAAGAGCCTGAGCACAGAGTAGCTCCTGAGAACTTGAAGGTGTGGTCCCACCAAGTCCAAAAATTAATTTTTCAAAGCTTATTAAAAACTTAAAGCAAAAACAAGTGTTGGCAAAAATGCAGAAAAAGGCAAACTCTAGTATATTGCTCATGGAGCTATAAAATGGTGAGAAAATCAATGTAGCAGTGTCTCAAGAAACTAAAAACAGAACAACCATATGAAGCAACAATTATACTTCTTAGACAAATGAAAGCAGGAATAGGAAAAGGTACCTGCACCCCAAAATTTACTTGAGCCTATTTATAACAGCTAACACATGGAAATAATGTGTCTATTAATAGACAAATAGATAAGGAAAGGGTGGCACACAGGAATATTACTCAGCCACAACCAGGAATGAAATCTTGCCATTTGCAACAACATGGACAAACCTTAAGTGCACTGTGCTAAGTGGAATAAGTCAGATAAGGACAAATACTGTAGGGCCTTATTAACAGGTGATATCTAAAAACAAAACCAAACTCTCAGCGCACACACACACACACACACACACACACACACACACACACACACAGGACAAAAGAGGAGGGTTGGATGAGTGACTAAAATACTGAAGGGAGTATAAGGGTTCAAACTGGGTACAAACTTCTTGTCATGGGGACATAACATGCAGCATGACAACACCAGAATAAAACTGTTTATACAGCTGAAAAGTTCCTGAGAGAAAAAAAAGGAAGTTGCTAAGAGAATAAACTTTACAAGTTCTCCTAAGAGAACTGGAGAGACAGTCTGGGGGTTAACTTGCATGCCTTGTTTGCTGCTGGCCCCAGTTTGAAACTTGGCACCACATGGCCACAGAACTCAGGGGTGGCCATGAACACAGGGGTGGGGGGTGGAGGGGGACTGTCCCCTGAACATCATTGTACGACCCAAGCAGCAGTATGTCCTCACGTAGCTGAGAATCATGGAAAGGGACTCCAGGCCTCCTGAGCACTACTTGTCCCGTCACCCCCTAAAAGTTGTCATAAGGAAAAATTTGTCATCTCACTCATCTGTGGTGAAAGGGAAACAAAAGAAGGATATAGACAATATTAAGGAATCACAAACTCTGGGAACTCAAGGATAGAACTGGCAGCACCAGGTTAGGATGAGAGTGGGCTGGTTTAAGGAGACAAAGGGGCATGGGCAGGGGGGTCTGGGACACTTTGGTGGTGATAAAGTGGGGCAACTAGACAGTAAATGTCAACACCACTATAAACACATAACCTAAACTATAATATAATTTTTGGGGGCTGGCCACACCTATTGGTGTACAGGGCTTATTCCTGGCTCTGCACTTCACAATCACATCTGGCAGGGCTTGGGGGACCATATTGGGTGTTGGTTATTAAATCCAGGTCATCCATATGCAAGGTAAGCATCCTAACCATACTATCCCTCAGGTCCCAAATTCTGTAAAAATAGTTACACACAGAATGGATATTAAGTATGGCAATGGCAATCATTTTTTTTTCCTTTCTGGATCACACCCAGTGATACTCAGGGGTTACTTCTGGCTCTGTACTCAGGAATTACTCCTGGCGGTGGTTGGGGGACTATACGAGATGCCGTGGATTGAAGCTGGGTTGGCTGCATGCAACGCAAAAGCCCTACCTGCTATACTATTGCTCCAGCCCCGGCAATCATTTTGTAAGTAAGGCCCTCCCGTTGATCGTCGATTTGCTCGAGCGGGCCCAGTAACGTCTCCATTGGAGACTTTGTTGTTACTGTGCTTGGCATATCGAATACATCACGGGGAGCTTGCCAGGCTCTGCCGTGCGGGCGAGACACTCTCGGTAGCTTGCCGGGCTCTCCGAGAGGGGCGGAGGAATCGAACTCGGGTCGGCCATGTTGGCCGCTTGTAAGGCGAACGCCCTACCCGCTGTGCTATCGCTCCAGCCCAATCATTTTGTAATGCATAAAAATATTGAATCATGTTGTCTACCTAAAACTAACATAGTGGAACAGCTTGGCTGAAAAAACATGTTATGTTTGAGAAGAAGGCAACCACAGTTTACCTTGTACTATTTTCCAGAACTGATCTAGTAATAAACCCGATCCACATGGCATCTTTCTTTCCCAGCATCCACTCAAGGATACCTGCAAGAGAGCATACAAAGCATCAAGGCCACGAAAGAGGCTGGACAGCCAAGCTGCATGGGGTGCAGGCCAGCGCTCTTCTTGAAACATTGCTCCAAAACCCGCTCCATGGAAACATTCTACTCACCCATGTAACCGCCACTCGGACTGAAACGTTCATTTAGTGTGAGACTAAACAGTCCCTGTAGGGGGGGAAACACGATGTTAGAAACGTCAAGCTCCTGCTCGAGGTCCTCCTGGCGGTTTGAGGGGTAGGTACATCAAGGCCTTGAATTGAGCAATACAAACTGAGTGAAGATAAGCCCAAACTAGCACAATATCACTTCTATTAACAGTTTTTTTTTTTTCTGAAGTTCAAAGCATTTTTACACTGAGTGTATGAGATAAGTCGATGAGATATCAGCCGCCCTCTTCTGACAGGGAAACTCAAATGCAGACAATTAATGCCTAACTTGCCCGAGTGGCAGATGGGGGTCAGATTCCAGATTCAGACTCTCAGTCCCTGACACCTATACATATGCTTTTTCCTCTCAAAGACTCCATTTCCCCTCTACTGTCCTCATGCAAACTCATACCGAGGAAGGTAACAGGAAGTGCAAAGGGATGAACTGAACTGGGGCTTCAGGTTCCTTTCAGGTGCCCATGCCTGTAAGTTCTACCCTTCTCAGAGTAAAAGGAGGTACAGAGCTACTTGTAAAATGATACAACAGTAGATTTCTTACTGGTTTGATTCCTGTTAACATGCCCACGTAGCCAGCAAAGCTTGACGCCTTGAAGACAGTTTTATTGTTTCTTCGGAAGTCCAAATTCACTGTTAAAGGTTTTAGTTCCTCAGTTACAACCCAGGAATTATTGTTTGTATTCCACCTACAAAAAGTAAATTTCGTTTACATACAAGTGGTACTACATGGAAAGTATCATGTTAAGCGAAATGACTCAGAAAGAAAGGGATAGACATAGAAAGATTGCATTCATCTGGGGAACAGAAAGTAACAAAATAGGAGACTAACAGCCAAGAATGGCCAAGATTAGTACCAGGAATTTTACTCAACGACCTGGAGGCCAACCACACATACTAGGGGAAAAGGGAGCTCGGATAAAGAGGGGAACACCAAATAAAGGTGTTGGGAGGATCCTCCCAGGATGGGAGAAGCATGCTGAAAGTAGACTATCGACCAAACATGATTGCCACTCAATGCCTCTTTTGCAAACTACAGCACTCAAAAGGAGAGAGAGGGAAATGCCCCGCCACAGAGGCAGGGTGGGATGGGGGCTGGGGGGTGGGAGGGATACTGGGATCCGTGGTGGTGGGAGATGCGCACTGGTGGAGGGATGGGTGTCTGATCATTGTATAATTGAAACCCAAGCACAAAAATGTGTAAGTCTGCAACTGTACCTCATGATGTCTCACTATTAAAAAAAAAATAAATTAATTAAAAAAATAAATTTCAATGACAGTTAAGAGCAATAAAGGTGGCGAGTATGATGATAATGGCCAGGCATTTATATTAAGTACTGTATCCCCTATCCTTAATAATTCAATAAGAACTCTGCGATGTGAATGCTTTTTCCACTTCCCACATGGGAAACTGAGGCTCAGAGCAGTTAACTGAACTCTTCCAATGCAATACAGCCTATAACAAACCCCAGATGCTAATTTAATTCTCTAATTACAGAGCCCTATTTATTATAATATATACTTCCCAGGAAGATCAAGAAGACATAAAATAAAAAGCTATTTTGTCTCCTAAGTCTCCTAAACGAGATGTGTATACAGAGGCCTGCTAGCATACTTCAAAGTTCAAATCACAACATGCAACTTATTTGACAAACGCTCAAGCTGTCTCAAAATTAGGAATTTTCATTTCTGGTCAAATTCTGGGCCTGATTTGAGGCTTCTTTCTCATTAAGGTAACACCATCTACTCTTCTTGGGAAGTGACACTCACCCAAGAAATACTCCAAAATCCATGTTTCGTGCATGAAGTAGGTGACCTAATTGAAAGTAAGAAGAGACAGGTGGCAGCATTTATGACAGTGTCATGAATCAAAATCGCAGCTGCACGCGTCACGAATCACGACCATCCTGTTATTCGTCGATTGCCTCGAGCAGGCCCCAGTAACGTCTCCTTCATCCCAGCCCTGAGATTTTTAAGAAAGTGCTATATTCAAGGCTCTTTCTGAGTTAGGAGAATGAGACCCATCATTGTTACTGGTATTTGGCATATTGGGTAGGCCACGGGGAGTTTGCCTGACTCTGCCGTGAGGGCAGGCTACATTCGGTAGCCTGCCAGTTTGTCCAAAACTGCACGCGTCAAGTCACCGATAAACAGGACTCTTCAGTCCAAGAGCAAGAAGCAAACAGCCTTCGCAACTCTGATTCAAGAACTAAGGCGCCCCGATTCTAAAATCCTGAGCCTTAATGCAGTCCTGTGATGTTAATCGGATGCCTCCGTGTCTGAGCTGATGGATGAGATTTTATTTGGTAGGAGAATCAGTGATGGTTCCACTATGACATGGCGCTACCTGGACACGGCTTTCTTAGGCTGTCCTCGGTGACTTTCTAGCATGCTTCTCTTCAGAGACTGTCCATCTACCACTGGGCCTCTCAAGTCAGGTGCTGCAGACTTTCTAGCCAGAGTGAATCAGGGTGGGGCTGGAACAATAGCACAGCGGGTAGGGCATTTGCCTTACGTGCGATCAACCTGGGTTCGATCCCGGGCATCCCATATGGTCCCCCAAGCACCTCCAGGAGTAATTCCTGAGTGCAGAGCCAGGAGTAACACCTGAGCATCGCTGGGTGTGACCCAAAAGCAAAAACAAAAAACAAAACAAAACAAAACAAAACAAAGTGAATCAGAGCAAACCAGCCTGCACCTTGGCCTGGGGACAGCCAAGGAGGTTACTCCTGGCTCTGCACCTAGGAATCACCCCTTGTGGTGCTCACAGGACCATATGGGATGCTGGGAATCAAACCCGGGTTGGCCGCATGCAAGGCAAATGCCCTACCTGCTGTGCTATTGCTCCAGACCCTAAATTTACTTTTAACAACTTGCCAAGATCTAGAAATCTCTATCAACCTACATGGAAATTGCATAAAAGCTTCGGTTTTACTACTTCTAGTCCCGTTCATTTAGATTTCCCCCTGATTTTGTACTTTGTACACCCCATCTTGCTTGGCATACATTTACCTTTTTTGTCTTCTGTTATTATTGAAGTACAAATGGTAAAAAGTTCATAGAAAATGTTGAATGAAATAATCTCTCCTGTAAGAAAACACATATAAATTTTGATCATTAGACAGGAACTCTGACAATGGTAAAAAGTTCACAGAAAATGTTGAATGAAATAATCTCTCCTGTAAGAAAATACATTTAAATTTTGGTCATTAGACAGGAGCTCTGACAATATTGAGAAAAAAATGTTAAAAGCAAGGTTTTATTGGGGCTGGAGAGACAGTACACTGATTAAGGTGACTGCCTTGCATGTAGCCAACCCCAGATCAACCCCTGGCGCCACATATGGTTCTCCCACCAACTGCCAGGAGTGATGCCAAAACTCCACCATATATATATATATATATATATATATATATATATATATATATACAAAAGAATCTCAAGAAGTGATGAAACTAATCTATGGTGAAAGAAGAAAAAGGGAACATGATAATGCCTGTGAGGGGGATGACAAAGCATGCGGAGTTGCTTAAGTTTGCTGTAACTTGACTGGAGTTGTAACTGCATGCTTATTATATACCTACTTATCTAAGTACACCCAGCAGTGCTTGGGAGCGACGCCAAGATTAGTCCTTGAGGGACTAATTCTGGACCTCCTGCATGCAAAGGATGCGCTTTGGCCTGTGAGCTATCTCCCCAACAAAAACAAAACAAAACGAAACTGATAGCTCAATGGGTTCAGCATATTCTTTCTGTGACAAGAAGTTGAGATCTGATCCCAAGCATTGCAGGATCCCTTGAACACTGCCTGGAGTAACCCCTGAGCAGAGTAGGGAGCAGCTCCTGAGTACCGTGGGGTGTGCCCTGAAAACAAAAACAAGCTATATTGAGCTAAACCTGGAAGGTGAGTGCATCTTACTCTATGTATATCATCTCACAACAGACTAGGTTTAAAGTGCCTTATTAAATTGTTGAACAGTTGCGAAATAAACTTTACCTAAAGGGACACCAGTAACAGCCGCGATCCCCCTCATTTCTTCCTCATAAGGACCAGGAAAGTTGCCGAGTAGACCAGGCTAAAAAACAAATTAGCAATCATTCAACCTTAGGGGTGACTGTTCTTTTACAGAGAATTTTTAGATACTATACTATATATGATACTATACTATATTCTATACTAGATTCAATTTATACTTAGAAGGCCAGGTACAGAGGGTAAGGTGCTTCCCTTGCATGTGGCCCACATGGGTTTGATCCCTGGCACCCCATATAGTACTCCAAGCACCTCCAAAATTGATTTTTGAGCCCCACTGGGTATGCAATCAAAAAAAATATATATATATATACACTAAGTGCAACTGTATTCTTCGCCATATAATTGACCACCTTTTCCTGATCTACCCATGCTTCTTACCCCTTTTATGTTCAGTCTTACAGGCTAACGCTATTACAGTCTAATTCTTTTACTATTTAGACTAGACTATTCATTTGTTAAGTTTCTTTAAATACCACATGAGTGAATGCTATGTAAACAAATCGTACGCTGTCTGTCTTTCCCCATTCAACTTGATTCATAAAGCATCATATTCTTTAGGGCCACCTGTATTGTTCACATGATAGTTTATCTTTCTGTCATTGATGTTTCCGTGACTTTTGGGCCATACTCAGCAGGGCTCAGGGACAACCCCCAGGGTGGTTCTTGGGGACTGCTACCACTGGGCACTGCTTGAGGGGAACTTGCGGTGCAGTGCTGGGACGAAACCTGGTGCTCCTGAAGCAAATGCTAAGTCCTTTCCCTGGATCCTAGGACTGCAACTCTGGAAAAAGTGACACATACATAAACTTATAGGGGTGAAGTGGGGGCCATACTGGAGGTACATGGCCTGGCAGTGTGCTCTGGTGATTTAAAGCTCTGACCTGGCAATACAGTGCTGCTCAGGTTGGTGCTGCCGGGAGCGACCAGGGCTATACCCTGCACTGCTCGGGGACCATTAGGAGTCGGGGATTGAACTGTGAGCTATGTCCTTGGTCCAAAAGTTATGCCATTATTATCCAGTGCTGGTTTCTTCTGTGGTTTTGTTTCTTGTACTTTTTTTCTCTTTTGTCTATACCACGCTCTGCTCAGAGATCACTCCTGTCCTCTATCTCTGGTTCCAAATGTTGTAATTCTTTTTCAGAAAGACTTTATTAAGGGAAAGGGAAAGAAAGGTCGGGTAGCACCCAGATTATGAGAGGGGTCTCCCTAAGAAGGATTCTCCCCTCCTAGCCCACTCCACCCGCCCCACCCCCCAACACACACACACACACACACACACACACACACACACACACACACACACACTAATAGATTTAATCAAAGTCTGCGAGGCGTAAATGTTATAATAGGTCTGGAATTGGCAGGTCTGTGTCAGGCATGTAGCCTCCAGGAGAGTTCTGATCATCACAACTGAAGAGGTGCGAGTGGCAACCAGCAGGTAGAAGCTGGGGATGCTACAAATGCTGAACAGCTCACTGCACACAGAACTCAAACACACACAAACCAGCACACTACCCAACCCTGAGTAATCAGCAACGCTGAATTTAAGACTCTGTGAGGGTCTTGGTGGCCTGAGCTTTTGGTCCTTTGTACACCCTGCAGGCTTCTGAGCGTCCTGGGGTAAAGGCTAAAATAGGAGAATGAGGATCTCTAGGGGTTCTAGAAGAGACCAAAAACCTGTACTCTCCAGTAGTTCCACCTCAAGTAAAAGACTAAGAAGTGAAGTTTTCCTGGATGACTAGGAGAAAAATTAGATGGTCTAGTAAATGTATAAAAATAAGAAACAGGCAACCGAAGAGAATTTAGTTAGAACCTCTGGAAAACTCCATAAAACACAGGATAGGCTAAGTACATCTCTGGTTTTAAGTCGAAGTATCTCTGGGTGGAGGCCAGAGCAAGTTCAATTGTTTGACCCCGATTTTATCCCAGACATCACATGGTCTCCCAAACACCACTGGGAGTAGCCCACCATGCTGCCAGATGTGCCCCCCATACCCAAAGTCTCTGGGGATCCTCAGAAACTTAGAAAAAGTGCTCATAAAAATTATTTTTCATAGTGAACTTGCAAAGCTATGTATATAAAAGGGAATTCCATACAACTCCAGATGAAATTTGTGCATTTTCCCAGGGCTGTGTAAAATAGACCACACTTCTAAAAAAAAAACTGCTAAAAACCAGCTAACGTCCCAATTTTGCCATGCTGTTTTGTATATTGTTACTTGAATATTACTAAGTCCCAGATCCTTCTGAAGTTTTGACAGAGGTCTAAAGCAAAAGCAAATTTATCAATGCTCCTCATAAGTTGTTAAATTGTCCTTTTCCGTAAATACCTGAGATTTTTCTGAGGTATGAGCACCCATTTAAAAGTTATTCTGGCTAGAAACTAGGCCTTTGGTGGTGATTCTAACTTAAGATATACAGATACTACAGTATGAATCTTTACACTTAAAGATTGTGCAATGCAACATAAACAAATGTTACCAAAACAAACAACCAAAATGTATGCTGGGAAATCATATCTCTTACCAACTTCTGATCTACAATCTCCATTATTTTCCCACTTGGCACAAATGCATTTACTACATTCTTCAGGGAATTCACTATTATTTTTAGCTGTAAAATAAAGAAATGAAACAGCCATTTTGATAGAAGGAAGTATTACATTTAAGATTAATATTGGTATAATCAAAACATTTTGACTTATTCACATACAGTTAAATCAAATGGTACCATGTGAAAGTAAAAATATAATGTCGGCCAACTTTATCTTTAACATCGTTTTTGTAATTTTTTTAGATAAGGTAGACCATGTTGAGAGAAAAAAAGTAAAGACAAAAACAATAAAAATGAAAAAGAAACTAAAAGGGTGTTTGGAGGATCCTCCCAGGAGGGGAGATGCATGTCGAAAGTAGACTATGGACTGAACATGTTTGCCACTCAATGCCTCTTTTGCAGACCACAACACCCAAAAGGAGAGAGAGAACACAGGGGATTGCCCTGCCACAGAGGCAGGGGGGGATGGGGGGATGGGGGTGGGAGGGATATTATCCATGGTGGTGGAAAATGGGCACTGGTGGAAGGATGGGTATCTGATCATTGTATAATCGAAACCCAAGCACAAAAAATTGTAAATCTACAACTGTACCTCATGGTGTTTCACTAATAAAAAAAAAAATTAAAAAGAATTAAAAAAAAAAAGAAAAAGAAACTAAAGTGGAATGACATAATTTTCTCTAACATCAGTAACTGTAAATAGCAGAATAGGAACCAAAGTGAATTCGTAAAACATTTAGTGCACAGTTTCATTGCACGTTCTCTTTCTCTCTTTTTTAAATTAAAATTATTTTATTGAAACACAGTGATCTACACAGTTACAAAGTTGTTCATGATTGGGTTTCGGTCACATGACGTTCCAACACCTGTCCCTTCACGAGTGCATATTTCCCACTACTAATGTCATCACATGTTCTTTTGAGGTGACAATTACATTCAGTAAAGTCAGAAGTAGAGTGTTTAAGGAAACTACTTACTGGGCTGGAGCGATAGCACAGTGGGTAGGGCATTTGCCTTGCACACGGTTGACCCGAGTTCGATTCCCAGCATCCCAAATGGTCCCCCGAGCACCAGCAGGGGTAATTCCTGAGTTCCAGGAGTAACCCCTGTGCAACACCGAGTGTGAACCCAAAAAGAAAAAAAAACCCACAAAAAAATAACAAAACTAACAAACAAAACAAGAGAAACCACTTACTGATGACGCCTTGTCAGTCAATAATTCATGCCATCTTTTGTAGGGTGGTAAGTCAAGGTTTATGGTGTACCATGGAACTGGACCCCTATAGCTGTAATGAGAGGTGCGTCATCTTGAAATGTGGAAAGCAGCTTTTTGGTGGAGGTAAGAGAGTTATATCTATATGGGTATGTTAGAGACACACTGTTAGTAACAACATAAAAATTGACAGCTATGCCAAGACAGATATACCTCTTCTCTTTCTACCCAGTATTTCTGCCCTATATTGTATATTTAGAAACCCCGAAAGAACAAAACTGGAAAAAGCACTGTTAGAAAATGTCTGCCCATATTTTCCCCTCCTCAAATTCTTTCTTTTTTCATGGTGTTGAGGAGCTGAACGCAGGTCTGCACACACGCAAGGCATGTGCTCTTCTGCTGAACTACATTCTAGCCCTGGATGCTTTTGTAATTGGCTTCCTGAACTCAGAATTCGTGTTAGTCTAACACTACAATCAGACCAATGTCTCTCTGCAGACTTCAATAAAGTTACCTTTTTTATTGCTGTCGACTTTACCTTTTCTTTAAAAAAATTTTTATTAGTGAAACACCATGAGGTACAGTTGTAGACTTACAAATTTTTGTGCTTGGGTTTCAGTTATACAATGGTCCGGTACCATCCCTCCACCAGTGTCCATTCTCCACCACCACTGATCCCAGTATCCCTCCCACCCCCCGTCCCTCCCATCCCACCCTGCCTCTGTGGCAGGGCATTCCCTTTTGTTCTCTCTCGCCTTTTGGGTGCTATGGTTTGCAAAAGAGGCACTGAGTGGCCATCATGTTCGGTCTATAGTCTACTTTCAAAATGCATCTCCCATCCTGGGAGGATCCTCCCAACACCCTTTATTTGGTGTTCCCTTCTCTATCTGAGTTGTCTTTTCCTAGTGTGTGCGACTGGCCTCCAAGCCATGGAATACATCTCCTGGTACTGCTATTCTTGGGTGTTAGTCTCCTATTTTGTTAAATAAAGTCACCTTAAGGCATCCCAAAGTGACACCACTGTGAGCTTTGCATGATGTCGTCAAGAACTTCTCATTCCATGTAACTTTTCATACTATACTCCTTTCTCCTCATTCTTCCATAGAAGTCCAAGCCTAAGCACCGTTCTGTCATACCCATTCTCCAACTTCCCCTTCTTTGATTCAGACAAAGCAATTTCTACTATGAGGATATATATATATAGCTTGTCCATTCTGATGGATGGAGCTGGGTTCTATGTCTGTTGGATGAACTCAATAGGTAATCTCTGTTGCAACAGAAGCATTATCTCTTATCACAAGTTACTAATCTGAAAAAGCTTTAAGGGGTGTGGCATTCTGAGACTTATCAGCTTAAAACTATGCCTAAAAATAGCACCCGCAGCAAGCAGGGTGACTGGATGAAGAAAATATAGACACTGCACAGCCTGAAGTACCTTGAATACTACCCGGCTGTGCAGGAAAGAGAAGGGCTGGGAAGGTGGCTCAGTGGCACAGAATATGCCTTGCAGGTTGAGAATCTAAATTCCCGGCATTACAAAATTACACAAATACATAAGTAAAGGGGCTGGAGCGATAGCACAACGGGTAGGGTGTTTGTATTGCACGCGGCTGACCTAGGTTCGAGTCCTCCGTCCCTCTCAGAGAGCACAGCAAGCTACTGAGATTATCCTGCCCACATGGCAGAGTCCAGCAAGCTCCCCTGGTGAATTTGAGACAATAAGTCTCACAATGGAGAGACCTTACTGGTGCCCGCTCATAGTGCTACAGTGCTACAGAGCTAGTAAGTAAAGATGAAAAGTTTCAATCTGCTACAAAACAGAATTATGTAACACAAAACAAGTCAGAAGGAGAAAGGCAAGTATTGGATAATTTCAGCCATTAGTACAATGTAAAGATACAAAATTGATGAATGGTTAAAACAAAAGAACAAATCAGAGTGCAAAAAGAACTAAGTTTATCTAAGGAGGAGGGTGGGAGAGGAAGAAAGGAATGTGTTTGGGATGGAGGTGGAGAATGAAACTCAACTATGTTTTTGAAAATGATGGGGTTCGGGGTTTCTTTTTGTTTGGGCCACACGGGACTGTGCTCAGGGCTTACTCCTGGCAGGCTCTGGGGACTGTATGTGGTGCCAGGAATGAAACCTGGGTTGGCTGCATATAAGGCATGCACCCTACCTGCTGTACTAGCTCTCCGGCTGCATGACTGAGGTCACTGTGGGGGGTGCCACAATGCTCCAGGCTCTTAAGGAAATTATGCAGAACTGTCTATCGCAGTAGTTAGTTCCTAAATGCTAAGGATTGGGTCATATTTATACTTCTACCACCATGATTATATATTTGATTTTCTAAGTACTGATACAGAACAAAGAACCTGTGTGTGTGTGTGTGTGTGTGTGTGTATTTTTATGAAACTATTAAGTAACTAGCAGTCACTTGTGACTCAGAAAAAGGAGCATATTCAATTTTGGAAGCATAGTTAAATAAAAATCATGAAGTCTTGTTTTTCCTCAAAGTATTTTCAAACTCCCAATTTCTGCAATAGCTGATATCACTATAAAATGCTATGAAATAATTATCACTCCTCCTGTTAATCAGGGGATAGTAAATTGCTTCCCTCTTCACCACCACAAAATTGAATTATTCGAATTTTGGTCTAGAGGTAATAATAAATTAGTAGACCACTGGCATTAATTATGCTGTAGCGCTGTCATAAAATTTGTGTTCTGCCCACGAGTTCCAACCACAGAACTGAACAAAACCTAAACCACGCCCTACATGTGCACTGAACTCCTGATTCTTCCTCTGTGCTGAGCTACAAGTAAGCTCAAGGATGTCAAAGTAGCAATGGAGAGAAAATTCATGACAGTAGAGGCTTATAGTTAAAGGTGGAAGGAGACCCCAGCAAGCTCTCTATAGTAAGTCCCACTAATCATAATTTTTTGAGAAAACTGCTAATATGATCAACAAAATTATTTAACTAAAGCTCAGCCAGGATTACATCTCTTACTTTTCATTATGCATTTTTCTCAAGTATTTCAATATTTAACATGGTCTCAATTTCCTAGAAAAGTGAAAAGTTATGCCTTGTGAAGGCAGGGAGGAGAACATACTATACACACAAAAATACTGAGAAGCATCTGTATTCAACCAATGCAATTACTACTTCACTACAAACAATAAACATCATTAAAATATTTTAAAGGTCTATGTACAATATTAAGCATTGACTGAACCCACCTGGATACACAGGTGGCTTGGAAACTAGTCCAAGCAAGACAAACACATGAACATAACTATGGGAGCAGATGCTGAGCACCAGTGAGCAGGAGAAAAAAAATGCTAATGGGATTCAGATGGATAGAGGGGTGATCTGCAGTCAGCCCCTGATTTCCAGTACTGATACGACTAGTCAGGCTAGAGAAACAGGTGTGTGTTTCCTGTCTGCCAGCTTTCCCTGCATATCTCCAGAATCTATGCCTTTGATTTAAAAGGAAGGCCTTAATGGCATGGGAGGATTTCTTTTTTATCATTGAAAGGTATATAAATACTATATTTGTCTTACAGATCTTATGATCTATTCACAGTTGAGAGAGGACAAGGATCAGAGTGGATTTTTATACAGGAAATAAATGGGAGCAAGAATTCCTACAAATCCAGCAGAAGTACAGGGAAAATACAGAATGTATAAGAAAGCTGTATGCATATCTATATATGTATAAATATACATATGAAGGCATGTATGGTGATCAAGCCATAAACACATATAAAGTGCACACAAGCAGGGCAGACAAAAAGGCCCTCAGCGTGGAAGGCCTCATCAAACGGTCAATGAAGTAGGCAGGGAGAAGAGTCCAGTGGGCACAGAAAACCAACATGCTGCCAGTAGAGTGGAACAGAAGTCCCCGAATGTGCACAACATTACAAGGGCACTAGAGGAACATGAAAACACGGTATATCTAAACGATTCCTGCAACTATTTGTCTCATTCTACAGAAATATGAGTAAATTAAAAATATTTCATTTATTACATATTCACAGAGTCCATTTGGAACATATACAAGTACAGTATTTTGACAAGTGTACAAATTTTACATAACTGGAGTACTATGAAACCCCCCAAAGGTCATCTTAAGTGGCATCAATTGGCCAAAGCTGTACCTCTCCTTCCCCTGGTTCTCACCAGGTTCCTTTCAATAAGAGGGAAGAACAGGAATAAAAAGAATTTCCAGGGCCGAAGTGATAGTACAGTGGGTAGGGCATTTGCCTTACAGGTGGTCACCCTGGGTTTAATCCCCGGCATCCCATATGGTCCCCCAAGCACTTCCAGGAGTAATTCCTGAGTGCAGAGCCAGGAGTAACCCCTGAGCACTGCTGGGTGTGACCCAAAAAGAAAAAAAAAAGAAGAATTTCCTTACCAATATCTCTTCCTTCTTACCCTCATTCGACACCTCTGGACTAGTATACAACTCTTTCTCACAGGCCTCACTCATCCGAGCACAAATGATTTGAAAAGGCTGAAACCTCTATATTAATGATTAATACACTAAAATATGATATTGGCTCTACTCTCATAGTTTCAATTCCATTTACCCCTAAAATATTTCATTATCATGCAAAAGAGATTTCCTGAGTGATTAACAGATGAAATCCTAGACTTTCAAACTGTGACATATTCAGGGCTGGAGCAATAGCACTGCGGGTAGAGCATTTGCCTGGCAAGCGGCCAACATGGTAGACCCGAGTTCTATTCCTCCACCCTCTTGGAGAGCCCGGCAAGCTACCGAGAGTATCTCGCCTACACGGCAAAGTATGGCAAGCCACCCGTGATGTATTCAATACGCCAAACACAGTAACAATTGTCACAATGGAGACGTCACTGGGCCCACTCGAGTAAATCGATGAACAATGGGAGGACAGTGACAGTGACAGTGATTCAGGTAGTTAATACTCAGGTACCACAGATAATCACAAGCCAGCCCTGAATTGGTCAGGAAGAGAAAAATCATAATAGGTAGAATATTTAGTAAAGAACGAAAAAAAATTTTTTTTTAAATTTTTTGTTTGGGGCCACACCCAGCGGTGCTCAGGAATTAGTACTGGCTCTGCACTCAGGAATTACTGGTGGTGCTCAGGGGACCATATGGGATGCCAGGGATCAAACCTGGGTCGACTGTACTATCACTCCGGGCCCAAGAACAAAAATTTTCTTTTTTTTCCCCCTATGATTTTATTAAGTTAGAAATGAATCCATTAAATAAATCTATTAATATGATTTTAATAGGTTATAAATTTTCATCATAGCCTCATTATATACGATGTAATTTAAGTTTTATCCACAACTGTTTTCTTTAAGGAGTCACTGCATAGGGAAAAATCACTTCAAGATCAATATGGCATTTTTTTCTTTTGGTTTGGTTTTTAGGTCGTATTTGTCAGTTTTCAGAGCTTACTTCTGGCTCTGCACTCAGGGATCTCTCCTGGAAAGTTTTGGGGAGCCTGGTATACCTGAGATTAAACCTGGGTCAGCCTCGTTTTAGGCAACCATCCTATTTTCACTCCTTGCTCCTCAGTAAGATTTTGATCATTAGATGCTTACTTACGTTGGTCCAGAAGGAGGATAGGTTGACTTTCTGCAGTCTTCTGTCCACTGAAAAAAAAAAAAGAAAATGAAAAGCTGCAGAAAACAATACAGTGAAAATAAAATTTATAAAGAGAAAATAAAGTCTGATTTGTCCTTTGATATAATTTCATTATCTCTTAAACTTCTTTTCTTGCCATGAAAACTTTGAAGATATCAACAAGTACCTTTTCAGTCTCAACTCAATTTTCACTAGGGCCAAGTGCTGAAATGTGGCAGTAGATGACAGACGGCTATAGATGGAAAATGGGTTAGTTTGGGTTAGAAAATAGGTTGTTAAACAGGTTAGTCTGTCTTTTAAAGTAAATGATTTGATAAGATGTTCTATAACTTGATTCTATGAGCCAATGTTACTGCAGTGAAATTTGTATCCCAAACCAGATTTTCTGGGCTATGGAGGCCCCTTCAAAATGTATCCTAGCATTCTCTTCTGCCACTCCTCCTCCACATCTTCCCTCTGTTCAAATGTCCTATTCCACTAGAATGCCCTCTCTCTATTTGGGAAACTATTAGTTACAAGATCCAGGTCAAATGCTATCTTTTTTGTAAACTTCACCTACCTCCCATATGAAAACAAGACAGCCACTCTTGTTATTCCCAGAGAATCTGAACACAACTCCATTACCACTAACCGTATTTATGATGTTGCATTTCATTAGTTTTTGTGTTTCTTTTCCTACTGGATCTGTGTTCCTTGAAGTCAGGATGACCCACCCCACTATACCTGCACTGAGATCATTGTGGAGGCAATGAATGAATGAGACTGTTTCAGGGAGCGTTGTTCGAATTTGGTAGCAAAATATGATTACCAGAAAATGATCAAAGATGTACATGTAGATTTTGTAATTCTTTTATTACTTGTTGAACATGGAAAAACACGCTTATCTCTTCTCTTCTGGAGACCCAATATTGTGAAAGAAATAATCTCTTTTTTGGCTACCTTCCAGCTCTCCCTTCCTTCCTCCCTCTAAAGGAAAATAATATTTATAAAAGAAACATAAATCTACAATAAGAAGATGTAAGAAGAAAGGAAATTACTAGGATCGTAGGTTAAGTTCACGATACATTAACTATACTAAGTTTGTGTGGTAATAGATCTACGTCTTACTTTAACTTTTGAGAATATTAAAAAAAACATATAAAGTAACTTACTTATGACTCAAACATTGTCAGAACAGTTTTACTGGGACCAAAGTGACAGTCCTGTGGGACTCGCACGTGGCTGGACCCGGGTTAGATTCCCTGCATCCCATATGGTCCCCTGAGCACCACCTGGAGTAATTCCTGAGTGTAAAGCCAGGAGTAACCCTTAAGCATCGCCAGGTGTTACCCAAAAAGCAACAATCCCCAAAAAGCAATCCCCTGCCACCAACAACAAAAAAGACCCAAAATACCAGTTTTACTAAGTATGCTTTTCATGTAAGTGCTGTTTTACTTTTAGGCAAAATTTATTAAGAAGTAACATTTAGCAAAAATTGATCAAATTAAATTATCAAAAGTTAATCCAATATGTTAGGATTTAAATTCTATTTTAAAACTGCCATAATTTGATATTTAAAGAATCCTTTTGATAATTCAGCACTAAATAAAAAAGGTGAATTTCCAAAGACAAGAAATTACTCTTGATGGAAGGTGGTTCTTTTTTAAAGAAAAAAAAATCTCAGCCTCTGAATACAACCAAAGATTGAAGTTAAAAACTTGCTACTACTCATATTCACAACTGACAAAATCTGAAATGACCTGAGTGCCCCAGTACAGATGACAAGGTTAAGAAACTGTGGCATAATACACAATGGAATACTACGAGGCTGTAAGAAAATACGGTACAGTAGGTAAGGCACTTGCCTGGCCAGAGCTGACCGAGTTAGACTCCAAGCACGAAAGACAGTTCCTGGAGCTGAGCAGGAGAGAGCCCTGAGTGCAGAGCCAGGAGGAATCCTTGAGCAAAGTAAGTTGTGATCAAAGATCATGCAATCTGCTGCAACCTGGATGGATTTTTTTTTTTTTTTTTTTTTGCTTTTTGGGTCACACCCAGCGATACACAGGAGTTACTCCTGGTTGATGCACTCAGGAATTACTCCTGGCGGTGCTCAGAGGACCACACGGGATGCTGGGAATCGAACCTAGGTCGGCTGCGTGCAAGGCAAACGCCCTACCCACTGTGCTATTGCTCCAGCCCCCTGGATGGAATTTAAGGATACGCTAAGCAACACTAGTCAAAAGGAGAGAGGGATACATAATGATCTCTCTCATTTGTGGGATACAGAAAAACCCTGTAGGGGAACAAAAAAAATGGTCAAAGGCAACAGAACCTGAGAACCATCGATAGAACTGAACTTCGCGAGGATGGAGGGAGAAGGCTAGGTGAGAGGGGACCCTAAGAAATAGCCGAGGGAAGCAGACATTGGCGGAAGGACCAATGTTGAGACATTATACACATAAAATCCTATCATTAACAGTATTAGAAATTATGGTGCTTCAAGTAATATTTTTTTAAAGGCTACTGCTGCTGTGGCTGAGTGATAGTACAGCAGAGAGGGTGTCTGCCTTCCATGCAGTTGACCTGGGTTTGATCCCCAGTATCCCATATGGTCCCCTGAGCCCTGCCAGGAGTGATTCCTGACTGCAGAATCAGGAGTAACCCCTGAGCATTGCTGGGTGCATACTCCCCCAAATAAAGTTCACTGCTGCTACGAGTGAACAGACATTACGGCATCCGTATACAATGGGATACTATCTGTCACTATCACTGTCCTCCCTTTATTCATCGGTTTGCTCGAGCGGGCCCGGTAACGTCTTCATCGTGAGACTTGTTGTTACTGTGTTTGGCATATCGAATACGTCACGGGGAGCTTGCAAGGCTCTGCCGTGCGGGCGAGATCCTCTCGGTAGCTTGCCGGGCTCTCCGAGAGGGGCCGAGGAATCGAACTCGGGTCGGCCATGTTGGCTGCATGCAAGGCAAACGCCCTACCGCTGTGCTATGGCTCCAGCTCGGGATACTATCTAACTATAAGAAATGAGGAACTAGGCATAGGAGAGATGGTACAGGGATTAAGGCACTTGCCTTGCACAGTTCAATCTCAGGCACTACATACGGTGTCCTGAGCACTCCATGGAGAGATAACTGAGCACATAGCCAACAGGAAGTCAAAGAAAGTAGAGGAAGGAAAGAAAGGAGAGAGGGAAGGAAGGGAAGGGAAGGGAAGGGAAGGGAAGGGAAGGGAAGGGAAGGGAAGGGAAGGGAAGGGAAGGGAAGGGAAGGGAAGGGAAGGGAAGGGGGATGAGAAGGAGAGGGAGGAAGGGGGAGAAAGAGAGAGATAAGCGAAAGAAAAAGAAATCTTGCCTTTTGCTACAATACGAATGAAATTAGAAGAGGTCATGTTAAGTGGGGTTGGAGCACAAGCAGGTAGGGTATTTGCATTGCACGAGACCAATCCAGGTTTGATTCCTCTGTCCCTCTCGGAGAGCCTGGCAAGCTATCGAGAGTATCCCGGCCGCATGGCAGATACAATAAGCTCCCCGTGGCGTATTCAATATGCCAAACACAGTAACAAGTCTCACAATGGAGACGTTACTGGTGCCCGTTTGAGCAAAATCGATGAACAACGGGAGGACAGTGGACAGTGCTTCATGTTAAGTGAAGTAAGTCAAAGGGAGGACAAAGCCAGATGATCTCTACTCTGTTGTGTATACAGAAACAAAGCAAGGGAACACAGAGCATCCAATGCCAACAAACCTTGGACATTTACTAAGAACTCCAGGACTCCAGTGATGGGTTATCTGAACTAGCACGGGTTAGGGAAGGATGTAGCACTGCACTGTCTTCCCGTTGTTCATCGATCTGCTGAGCGGACACCAGTAACATCTCACAACAAATTGTGAGACTTGTTGTTACTGTGTTTGGCACATCGAATACGTCACGGGTAGCTTGCCAGGGCTCTCCGAGAAGGCTGGAGGAATCGAACTCGGGTCGGCCATGTTGGCTGCGTGCAGGGCAAACGCCTTACCCACTGTGCTATCGCTCCAGCCCAGGGAAGGATGAGGCCATCTAAAGTGACATAAGTGGTGAGGGTCTGTGGCACTTCAGTGGTAATAACAGCAGCCTACCATAAACATTAACATTATTTAAACCATGCTACCTCAAATACAATTAGGAAAAAGTTTCCTGCTGTGGGCTAGAGAGAGCTCAAAGGGCTGGAGTATATGTGGGAGTCCAGGTTTGATCCCCAGCACCACATGGTTTCCAGAACTACTGGATGAGCACTTCACAGAGAATATGAATGAGCACTTCACCAAGACTATCTCTTTTTAAAATTTTTTATTTTACTGAATCACCATGAGATATAGTTATAAGCTTTCATGTTTGAGTTACAATCACACAACGGTCAAACACTCATCCCTCCGCCAGTACACATTCCCGACCACCAATATCCCAGTGTACCCTCCCTTTCCCACCCTCCCACTGCCTCCATGGCAGACAATATTCCCCAATTCTCTCTTTACTTTTGGGCATTGTGGTTTGCAATACAGATACATAGAGGTTATCATGTTTGGTCCTTTATCTACTTTCAGCACACAACTCCCATCCCGACCAATTTCTCCAACCATCATTTTCTTAGTGATCCCTTCGCTATTCCAGCTGCCTTCTCCACCCCCCCACCCCACCCCCACCCCAGCTCACGAGGCAGGCTTCCAACTATGGTGCAATCTTCCTGGCCCTGTATCTACTGTCCTTTGGTGTCAGTCTCATGTTGTTATTTTTGACTCCACAAATGAGTGCAGTCCTTCTGTATCTGTCCCTCTTTCTGACTCATTTCACTTAGCATGATACTCTCCACGTCTATCCACTTATAAGCAAATTTCATGATTTCATCTCTCCTAACAGCTGCGTAGTATTCCATTGTGTAGATGTGCCAAAGTTTCTTTAACCAGTCATCTGTTCTAGGGCACTTGGGTTGTTTCCAGATTTTGGCTACTGTGAACAGTGCTGCAATGAACATATAGGTACA